CTTTGCTGCGCTGTCCCGTCCCCCCCCCCGCCTCAACGCGAACTATTGCAATCAGCAGCCCCGAATCTCACCTTAACCCTTGCTCAGCCTGTCCTACTTTGCAGGGCTGTCGCGGTAGGGGAGGAGAACAATACGGTGCCCTGAGTCAATTGCAAGAAGGATGGCCTAGAAATAGAATAAGGCGGTGGGAGAAGGCTGTTTCCGGGCATGGGCAGCGCGCATGCCCCAGCTGAGAAGAAAAAGAAGGAGAAACAGGTTTCCAGCCGCAGAAAGCGGCAGATCCGAGCAGGCGACTTTGCAGCCAGCCGGCCACCCGTTGCGTCTCGCTTTCCCCCACTTTCCTTTTTCAGTGCAAAGACCCAAGTGCCCCCCCACCCGGGCCTGGGCCCCGCCCGGCGCTTCTTCGACCGGACCCGCGTCGCCTGCCCACGTGGCTCGCCCTCCCGCCGCGCGCCGCTTTGACGCTCCGCGTGCAAACGCGCGCCGCGGTAGCTTCCGTTCCCGTGTCTTGTCAAAGTGCAAAGGTTGCAGATCCGCTGGGGGTGGTGGTGTTGTTGCATGCTCAGTGCTGGGTGCATGCTTGGTGCTGGGTGCAGAGTTGCATGCTTGGTGCTGGGTGCAGAGTTGCATGCTCAGTGCACCTCAGTGTGGGTGCAGAGTAGCATGCTCAGTGCACCTCAGTGTGGGTGCAGAGTAGCATGCTCAATGCGGTTGCACGCTCGAGGGTAGGTGGAGAGTTGCATGCTCAGGTCTCATGCTGCTCTGCCTGTCGGCGACTAACCGCGCAGTTCCACTTTTGCGCAGCGCCACTGATGAGAGAGGAAGCCCAGCGCCAGCGGAAGCCACCGTGCCCCCCTCCCTGACTTTTTAGGATGCTTTGTCTAGAAGTGCATCTGGGGAGACAACGAAGCACCCTCCCTCCCTGGAGTACGTCTTCTCCAGCGTTGAACGTCCTTTCCGAGCTTCTATTTATCCCTTGAGATGCGGGAAGAGAAACCTCCTTTCTTCCTTGCCAAGGTCCTGCTCCGCATTGGGTCACCCTGCAGCAGGTTTACAGAATCCGGTTTGTCCTGATCGCTGGAGCCTTGGAATCCGTGAACCGGAGTCCGGGTGTGAACGAGGGGGCCTCGCGTGCTTCCCTGGCTAATGACAAACAGACCATTTTCAAATTCAGAATTGGCCCCCCATCAGGCACCGCTCAACCACAAAGACCTAAACCGTAGTCAGAGGTTACAGAAGAAGAAGAAAACGGAGATATGCCATAATCGATTTACGATCACCATAAAAGTGTTACTAGACAGTCATAAAAGCCTAAAACTCCCTACCGTCTAAATTTACTAGCACAGTTTACGATACAACGGCCCTGCGTGGGGCTAGGCTGAAGCTGCCATAACTAAAAGACGAAGCAGGTGCGTAAGCGAGAGGACAGAATCTCATCTAAAAGATCCTTTCGAGGAGGTGGGTGGTTAAGGAAACAGGGGAAAATGTCACCTGAACCAGACAAAGGAAGTTTGTGGCCTGGGGGGGCACATGGAACTGCACCCCCCTCCCTGGGCCAATCCCATCAACAGCTAGCAGACTTGTAAATTCACAAGGCGAGGGTAGTTGCCCGTCTTGTGAATCAACGGTTTGAGGATTTGGGGGATAAAAGGGGTCCTGAAGCCCCCCCACTCCTTGAGTCGTCTTTGGATCCAGACTCGGCCGCTGCGTCTCTCGCGAGCGCCTGGCAGCCTAGTTGAGAAGAATGTGGGTGAGTGTGTGTGGAAGAGCAAATGTACGCTCAACCAGTAAAGTTTTGCTGTGACTTTAAATTCACGGGGTCTCGGTGTGTTCCAAAGCACCTGTTGTGCCTCGGTGTTAGGTTGAAAGTGATTTGTGTGTGTGCCTTATTATGACCAGGGCTGTGTCTTGTCTGCTCTCTGGAAAACCCAGGGAGAGAGCAAGGGGGGCTTACCAGATCCACGTGCCTCCACAAGCTGTGAGTGTGTCAGTGAGTGAGTGACCATAAGCTGAACCTGGGAGCCCCCGTAACACCTGCCATTCTCAGCATCTGCTCGCCACCCTTGTCCGCCAGTCGGTCTGCTTTATTGACCAAACCGGTTTGGGAATCCTGAAATGTACTCAAGAAGGAGCTAGAATAGATGGAGAAGAGGATTCCATACCCGAGGACCCGGATCCTGACATGCAGAGAAACAAGATGGGGCGATGCGCGAAAAGGGAATGGAACGATGCCCTTGTCTTGACTGGGCTGTGTAAGCAGGATTTTACCAATCTGCCTCCCTTCTACATGCGGCACGGCTAAGATTACAGTACCAGAACCACAAATGAGGCACCTCGCAAACTTTGCATAACTCATTAGGGCCAGTGTTTCTCAACCTTGGCGAATTTAAGACATGTGGGCTTCAACTCCCAGAATCCCCTAGCCAGGAGAACAATTCCTGCATATTTCCATCAAGGACCTCTTCCTTACTCCCTACAGCAGGGTTTCTCAACCTTGGCCACTTTAAGATGTGTGGACTTCAACTCCCAGAATTCCCCAGCCAGCTGGCTGGGGAATTCTGGGAGTTGAAGTCCACACGTCTTAAAGTGGCCAAGGTTGAGAAACCCTGCTGCAGGGAGTAAGGAAGAGGTCCTTGATGGAAATATGCAGGAATTGTTCTCCTGGCTAGGGGATTCTGGGAGTTGAAGTCCACACGTCTTAAAGTGGCCAAGGTTGAGAAACCCTGCTGCAGGGAGTAAGGAAGAGGTCCTTGATGGAAATATGCAGGAATTGTTCTCCTGGCTAGGGGATTCTGGGAGTTGAAGTCCACACGTCTTAAAGTGGCCAAGGTTGAGAAACCCTGCTCTACAGATATTGCCAATTTAGAATAACATGTCATGCATCTAATGATGGGGAATAAAAGTTTATGTCATAAAAAATGGATTAGTTTTTAAGGTGCCACAAGGATTTTTTTTTAATTTATCCACAAATCCAGCGTTGCCCCAATGCAAAAAATTGAGGGATGTAAACAAAAGAAAAAAACTCATTGTCTTAGGGGTAAAGTCACACCCGTGCTATCAAGTAAATCAACTTGAACATCAACCCGTGCCATCAAGATCAAGTAAATCCAATTATAGGTGAACATTAGAATGAATTCTGCTCCTAGTGACACAGCCCAGCTTTCTCTGACCTGCTGGTCAACAGATGTGTTAGGAATCCAATACTCGGATTTTTCCGACCGAATGACTAAGATGAGAGGGCCAAGTTCAGAAAAGTTGCCCTCGCTCCGTCTTAATCCCTCCAAGGCGTGATGCAAAATTACTTAATCCATACAGAAATTCCTCCTCCTGGTGGGCCTAGCTTATATTCTTGCTGCTGACGTTGGACCCCAAAGTTTATTTGCGTAACACGGGATGAAGGAGTGTTAATTTAAGGCGGTTAACAGCTGGTTTCACACCAAGTAGATTCCTTTAGCGCCAGGTTGGTTGGTAGATGTTTCCCTTCCTCTGGCCGGGGGAATCATATTTCCCATGTGGCCCAAATGCCTGGTGCCCAGAGCCATGATTTATGTTAGCTTCATCCCTCTCCTCTGTTTTTGCAAGATAGGTGTTGCCGTTCAGCATGTCGGCCTCTCTCTGGCTTGTTTCAACTTCGGAGGCCGTGAAGTGGGAGCAGGGGGAAAGGAAGGCCGTCCGTTGATGAAAGACTGGAATAGAAAACAACTATTTCACGGACTAAAGGTGAGGGTAGGACCCTGAGGGTTGCAGGGAAGGAAGTCCAACTTACTCCTTACAAAACCTTACAAGGTTTTGAGGCTGGACCAATTCCAGAGGAGAAGGCTATCAAAGGCCATTCACCTGTATGGCTGGGTATGGCCTCCTGAATGCCAGGCTGATTTCACTCTAGAAGAGGGCAGGGACCATGTCCATGTTGAATGCACCTGATGGTTCACTATGGGAAACACAGTGCTGGATGGATTAGATGGGCCTGACTCAGCCACACTTGGAGGTTTTCTTCAGTTCTTCTGCCTCTGCTACCTGCTTCACACTGCTTAACAGAAGGCCTTCTTGAGAGCTTCCAGAAACCCTGCTAAAGAGGCAAGCCTAAAAGATGAGGCAGGCAGGATTCCATTCGAGAAACCCTACAGATGTTCTAAGGGGGGCAATCTGGTCCCAATCTGCCTCATCACCCATTTTCGTGCATTTCTTCTCCATCATTACCCCAATACTTCCATCAGCATTGTCCAACCTCCCAGAACATATGCAGAACAGCTGGATCTCTGAGCATGGAACCAAACCTCTTGTCAGAGAGGATAAAAAAAGGAAGGGACTGAACACAAACCACAGTTCCAGTTCCAATGAGAAGATTTTAGCTTTCTGAAAAAGGGAGCATCACACATGAGCTTTTCCACCTACGCATATACAGGCCGTGGAAAAGTCTGGTTTATATCAGGAATGTGCGACTTCCATCAATTCCAGAGTCATACCAGTCATGGGGTGGCTCCACCCGCGCACGGGGCTGGGTTCCAAAGTAGGCACTGCTGATGTTTGTAGCTTTCATTGTTAATGTTTTCAAAGCAGCTATTTTCCCAACCAAACCGAAGCAATAAACATGGCTCTATCAACCAGGGGTAGGCAGATCTCTAAGGGAGTTCTTGATTTTCTTGAACGTTCGAGCAAAGAAGCCTGTCCTTTGCTTCTATGAACGAAATGAAGTCACCGCAATGGGTGGCCTCCTTCTCCAACACAGCCTCCTTTAGCACTTGCTAATGAGGTTCAAGGGCCAGGAAAAGGCCACCAAATGATGGGCACCGTCAAGGCAAACCAGAGGCAACTCACCCAAGCCTGAGAGGTGTGTACACACGCACACAGGCACAATACTCCCCCCAAAGGAAAATAATCCTGAATTTAAACGATCACCCCAGAAGGAAGAACAGACCAAACGTGGCTATAAATTCAGCATAAAACCCTGTGCAATGGCCAGCTGCTTCACCGTGTCCGCTTAAGGCTTCCAATTCTACTTGCAACTGCTCCTCCAGGTCACCCCACTTATGAATATGGTTGTAGTTTCAGGATCTGGTCCAGAGATCAAGGCAGCCACATAAGGAGACACGCAGCTTTAAGAATAGGCTATCACCAAAGTTTTTCCAACAAGGAATCTGTTCTCTGAGGCCACTTTAAATATCCAGTTCTTCTACTCCTCACCTAGGTGCCACCTTGACTCGGCAGGATCCAATTCTACAAAGCTTTGGATCTCATCAGATGTCTGTCTTTGTCACTCAATCCTTTGCCAGGTTAATTTCTGGCTTCCCACCCCTTGCTGACTTCATCCTCAGGGTTGGAGACGTGCGTGAGCCTTGAGTTCCAGATCTGAGTTCTCTGTATTAGAATTGGCTAGATAAGGGTCTTCATGTGGTCCATTCAGTGATGATACTTAGGCCTAATTTTCTGATACCTTAATTGCCAGGTCCATCACTTGGGTCTTCTTCAGATGACAGGTCCAACTG